AAGAGTTTTCCATAGACAAATAATCTTTAAAACAGTAACCGCAAAACAACCTTATAAACGTTGAAATGCTCAATTGTTGCGTCAAATGTAGTGTAGATGTCATTGAGCAGGTCGACAATTTGCAGTAGCGTTGATTTGGCGGAGATCAAGGAGAATCCCACAATGTCACTGAAGTAAATGGTGACGTTGTCGAATGCTTCCGGATCCACTGGGTTTCCAGCTACCGGCTCCTGAGCAACGGGCCTGAAAAATGCCCAAAAAGGAAATTTGGCAGAGCTATTGCCAAAATCGCCAAGATGTGCACAGTCATCAGTGTCATAGTGAAAAATACGTTGTAAAAGTTTAACTGCGAGCACTTTCTAGCGAGAAACTTACAGTGGCAGCATTTTAGCTATGAGATCCTCCGTCTTCTGTTTTTCCGCTTCCAGCTCCAATGTTCGTTCTTGTACTTCAGCCTCCAGTTGATCAGAATATTTCTGCATTACTGCTAGCATGTGGTCGACAACATTAACATGCCTAAAAAAATAAATTGCAATTCATTTGAAAATGTAGCAGTCACATCACAACATAGTGCCCAATAAGTGCGGCAGGAATGATCTAGCTAAAACGCTAAGGTCGTCTGATGCATTACTTATGCCTGCGCCTACGTCCGCAGAAATCTATCATGGCTTCTAACTGCTTATAAAGTAGGTCTTAAAACAATTATCATAGGAGATGGCGTTTGACAAGCTGCTACAGGATGGAAGTATTCTTAGAACAAGTCTATTTAGGACAATCTAACCATCCTGTTTGTTATTCCTTTTCGTTATTCAGAAATTTTACTTAGAATTATGCGGTCCCGTCTATCAAGCTTGTAAGTAAAGTCGTTATGACTGACAGGCAGTATGCCTAAACTGACATATCGCCCATTTATGCTTAGTAAGCAGACTTAAATTAGCCTGCATTCAGGTGTTTCGTGTCCCTTACAGTCTGAGAGTCGTTTACTACAGGTTTCACAGTGTGCCTCAAATTGCCGCGGTATTTGGTTGCGCTCTTGCGCTGGAAATAGATTATAGTGACTGTAGACTTGCACTGCATCTAAGGCACACTCTTACGCTCCCACCTTGACCCTGTGTCACAAGCAATTCAAGATGACCGGATGCGGGAGAGGGCACAGGTGGCTGGCGTGGCCGGAATCTCCCTCAGGTGTGCCGCCACACTTGGCTCGGATTCCACGGATTGGGGATGCGATAGTGGTGATAGAAAGGTGAAGCCTTTGCGGTCCAACTCTTAGCCCACCAGTCAGCAACTCCAAACAAAAAACATTAGGCTAACTGCGAGATCTTAATTCAGTCGTCAGCTGGCTGTTGAATCATCAGTTTCCCTGCCTACTCTATCAAATACTCCCTGTTCTGGGCTCGGTATGTGGACGACACCTTCGTCGTAATTGAGCGGGATCAG